AAGAGTTTTTCCAACATTTTCTTCTAGAATTCTTATAGTTTCATGCCTTAGGTTTAAGTCTGTCATCCACTGTGAGTTGATTTTTGTGAGAGGTGAATGGTGTGGATCCTGTTTCAGTCTTCTACATGTGGCTATCCAATTTTCCCAGCACCATTTATTGAATGAAGATTCTTTTCCTCAGTGTATGTTTTTGTCTGCTTTATCAAAGATTAGATGGCTATATAAGGAAGGTTTTATATCTAGGTTCTAAGCTCCATTCGATTGGTCTATGTCTCTGTTCTTGTGCCAGTACCATGCTGTTTTAGTTACTATAGCCTTATAGTATAGCTAGAAATCTGGTAAATAGATGCCTCCCAATTTGTTCTTTTTGCTTTAGATTGCTTTTGCTATATGGGATCTTCTCTGGTTTCATATGAAACATAGAATTGTTTTTTCTAGATCTGAAAAAAATGATGTTGGTATTTTAATAGGGATTACATTGAATCTGTAGATCAATTCGGGTAGTATAGACATTTTAGCAATGTTGATTCTGCTGACCAATGAGCATGGTATGGTTCTGCCATGAGACAATGGGAATTGATAAACAAATTCAGCAAAGTCTCAGATTACAAAATCAATGTACAGAAATCAGTAGCATTCCTATACGCCAACAATAGTCAAGCTGAGAACCAAATCAAAGACTCAATACCCTTCACAATAGAGATAAAATAAAATATCTGGGAATGTATTTATCTAAGGAGGTAAAAGACCTCTGCAGGGATAACTAGGAAACACTGAGGAAGGAAATAGCAGAGGAATGTCAACCTCTGGTGGAAAACCATAGCTTTATTCTTGTACAAAATCTCAGCTCTGTGTCAGAAGTAGCACCACTCCTGACACAGAGTAGCATTCGCTCGGATCTGATGCTGGATAGAGTATCAGAAGACCTGGAGATAGAACTCTCAACTTTTGTCACCTAATGACTGGCTGGAACAACAATTGAGACAGATGAAAGATACAGAGCATATTACTAATTTACATGGGACTTTGTTTCACAAAGTTAGGCACTGTTCAAAAGACATTTTAGATTTTTTTTATTGTATCTTGGGCTGATTTAATAATAGGAGTTGTGCCCATTGGGTCAGAATTTAAAAGCAATGATAGTTGCTTAGTTGATTGGAATCTTTTAACATAATTTTCACTCAAAGTCTTAAAATGTAAATAGTTTTCTGGTTGACTTTTCTACAAAAAAAAAAAAAATCAATGAAAGAGTCATTCATCCTGGATTGTTGTTCCTAATTAAGATTTTGCTCTTATGTTTTTTAGAGCTTGGAA